TGAATTTACACAACCAAGAAGCTCAACAAAATCCAGAAAGGATAAATACAAAGAGATCCACAATGAACCACTGCAGTCAAACTGTCAAAAGCCAAAAAACAGAGAATCTTGAAATCAGCAAGAAAAGCAACTCCTCATGTCCAAGATACACTGTGTGGGAAGAGGAATGGGAATTAACCTCTTACCAGGTGTTCTGATGATGAAATGTTCAGGAACTTGGTAGATGTGGTGCTTATGTTAATGTACTAAATGCCACTGAATGTACTAAACATACAATTAGCATACTAATTGTATACTAAAAAAGTTGATTTTATGTCAGTGATATCACCTCAATTTTTTAAAAAACCTAACTTTATTTCCATCACCTGAATGAAATTTTCTAACCCATTATATGCCCTTCTTATTTTTTAGGTATGGGTGTTTGTTTCAACATAAGCATTTGTATATATGTGAAACAAAGGTAGAAACTCAAAAGGTCCAAAAAGCACATATTTTGGAACTAATTCTCATTTCTTCTGTGCCCTTTGCCTCTGCAAATTCTACCAATATTCCTAATTGTTCTAGATTCTTCCAGGTATGAATGTAGATTTCTTTTAAATCTATTTGCTTAGGACTATACATATAGCCTCAATCGGAACCATCATCTGCTCAAGCGTTGTCTTTCCTTATTCTCTTGACTTTTTTCCTCTAAGAGTAAAATTAAATCTAATTTTCACTCCATGTCTCATCTTCTTTTTTTTTTTTCATATTTTCCGTAAGTTTCTGCTTCCTGGTTTCTTTTCTATTTATTATTGTCTATTCAATCTAGTCAGCTATTTACCTAACTACTTAAGTTTTAATTTTAATGATTTCTAGTTCTTTGGATCTCTTCTAAATATGCCTGAACTTTTTTTTTTTTTTTTTTAGATTTTACTTATTTTTAGAGAGAGGGGAAAGGAAGGAGACACATCAATGTGTGGTTGCCTCTTGTGTGCCCCCTACCTGGCCCACAACCCAGGCATGTGCCCTGACTGGGGATTGAACCAGCAACCCTGCAGTTCGCAGGCCAGCACTCAATCCACTGAGCCATACCAGCCAGGGCTGAACTTTTTTTGATGATGTTATATTTCTTCGTTACGGTTTCTACTCCTTCTTTTATTACTTTATATTTGTATATACTTTATATACTTTACTAACATCTTTTTATAGTTACTTTACAATCACTTTCAATCACTGTCTATAGTATCTTTAATTACTGTGGTGCTATTTACCAGTTACAGCTGATCAATCTTTACTGGTTAGTAATTTAATTGTGAGGTCACCTTCACTGGAGACCATTTTGTCCATGGATACTATGACCAATGAAGTATGAAAATTTCCCTGGGAGTTGCCATAGGGTTATGAAATAATTATGATGTTTATTCCTAGTCTTAGGATTCCTACACCAAGCAAGTAGTATAAATGTAGATTAGAGAGCCATCTACATATGACCCAGGCTGAGATTTCTATTTTTCATAGGGACTCCTCTCCCATCCAAAGTTCTGGGCAGAGGGGCAAAATTCCTCACAACTTTCATTCCCTGGGGTGCTGAGTTTTCCCTCACATGGATAATTCAGTTTTTTTTGGACACAAGCAAACTTCCAGCTCCCCTTTCTACTGAGTTTTAAGGCCTTTAGTCCTGTCATAGACATTAAAACTCTAGTACTCAATCCTCAAGCTCCATGAGTAGTGTGAAATCCCAATAGAATTCCAGGGCATCAACTCCTGTTTTGGCCTTGACTTACTTCTTTGCCTTTTATCTGAATATTAGCCCCTCACCCATTTTTTCTGAAGCTTGGGTACACACTGAAAGAGCTTTTATTCCTCATTTTTGTTTACTGGTAAGAGGGAGGCCATCCCATAGTGACTTAGCCCACTATGTTAACCAAAGCCGCTCATTATAGTTTTTAAAACAAGTAAACTAGGAGACTTCCGGCAAGATGGAGGCATAGGTGGATGCACCGTACCTCCACGCACAACCAAGATTAGAACGATAACAATTCAGAGGCAGAATAACACCCAGAACTGACAGAAAACTGATCCGAATGGAAGTCGGACAGCCAAGAAGTTGAAGTAGATCCGATCATCCAGACCGGTAGGAGGGTCAGGGAGGAACAGCCGGGCGCGGGTTGTGGCTCATGGAGAACAGGGAGAACTGGGTGCATACGGCAACCGGGAGTGAGTAAGGCATCTGGGGCACACAAGATCACAGCGGGTGGACCCTGAGTACCCAAGCGGCAGTTGGCGGACTCAGTGAGGCGGCGATTGTGGACCAGGGCAGAGCGCGTAACCCAGGATCCCAGAGAAGGAATTGAGGTCCCAGGAGAACAGAGCTACCGCCATTGTTTTTTCCCTCCTGCCCCCACCCCACCCCCACATACAACGTCACAATCTAGTGACTAGGGTGCCCAGCCCCGGTGAACACCTAAGGCTCTGCCCCTCACCATAACAGGAGCGACCAGACCAAAAAAAAAAGAGAGAGAGAGAGAGACATGTCTCAAACAGAAGAACAGATCAATGCCCCAGGACTCATCCTTTTGAGCGACCAAGAGATAGCCAATTTATCAGATGCACAGTTCAAAACACTGGTGATTAGGAAGCTCACAGAATTGGTTGATTTTGGGTGCAAATTAGATGAAAAAATGCAGGTTGCCATTAAAGAGATGAAGGAAGATGCACAGAGAACCAATAGTGATGGGACGGAAACTGGGACTCAAAACAATAGAGTGGACCAGAAGGAAGAAAAAAACAACCAAACAGGAAAGAATGAAGAAACAAGAATTCAAAAAAATGAGGAGAAGCTTAGGAATCTCCAGGACATCTTTAAATGTTCCAACATCCGAATTATAGGGGTACTAGAAGGGGAAGAGGAAAAGCAACAGATTGAACACGTATTTGAACAAATAATTAAGGAGAACTTCCCCATTCTGGCAAAGGAAATCGACTTCCAGGAAATCCAGGAGGCTCAGAGAGCCCCAAAGAAGCTGGACCCAAGAAGGAACACACCAAGGCACATCATAATCACATTAGCCAAGGTAAAAATGAAGGAGAGAATCCTAGAAGCAGCAAGAGATAAGGGGACAGTAACCTACAAAGAGTTCCCATCAGACTGTCAGCTGATTTCTCAAAAGAGACCTTACAGGCAAAAAGGGGCTGGAAAGAAGTATTCCAAGTCATGAAAGACAAGGACCTATATCCCAGATTACTCTATCCAGCAAAGCTTTCATTTAGAATGGAAGGGCAGATAGAGTGCTTCTCAGATAAGGTCAAGTTAAAGGTGTTCATCATCACCAAGCCCTTATTTTATGAAATGTTAAAGGGACTTATCTAAGAAAAGAAGATACAGAAAAAACATGTATAGTAAAAGGACAGCAAACTCACAATTATTAACAACCACACCTAAAGCAAAACCAAAAGAAACTAAGTAAACAACTAGAACAGGAACAGAACCACAGAAATGGAGATCACATGGTGGGTTAGCAACAGGAGAGTGGGAGGAAGAGAGAGGGGGGAAAAGGTACAGAGAATAAGTAGCATTGATTGTAGGTTGAAAATGGATAGGAGGAGGCTAAGAATAGTATGGGAAATGTAGAAGCTAAAGAACTTATAAGTATGACACATGGACATGACTAAAAGGGGGGATATGGGTGGGAGAGGGTGTACAGGGTGGAGGGGAGTGAAGGGGGGAAATGGGACAACTGTAATAGCATAATCAATAAAATATATATAAAAAGACAAAATAAAACAAGTAAACTGTTGTAGGATATTCTGATAGACTATTGGCAATCCACCAAGTATCCAAATAAGTGAAAAGAATCTTGAGACACAGACATACACAAAACTACTGAAATACACACAATTCAAATATCCATTATTCAAATATTTAATTCATTCAAATATGTAAGTTTCAGGCGCAGTGGTAGGGAGCAGAGTCTAGTGGAAGAAACAGGCATGTGCACAACAAAAAGCCTGGATGATAGAAGGGTGTTGCCATATATATTATAAAGATTGGGTGGAAATTAGAATTTGCAGGGGGAAATAATTTGTCAGCTTTCAAACATGTTAGTTTTAAGCATCCAAGACATACACAAAGTGTATGTCTATACATACTAGGAGATCCAAGTGTAACTAGGAGACTATAACTAGGAGATCCAAGACCATGTTTCTAAGATAGGGATTAATGAGCTCTGTAGCATTAACTAAAGAAAGTAAATATACAATAAATATATACCACAGAGATAATTTTTAAAAATTCAATTCCAAGGGAGAAAACTGTACTTGAACAATGATTAAAATTTAAAAAAAAAGGAAAAAAATTCAATTCCTCCACAATAATTTACACCATATAACTTACACCAGTTTCCTCTCTGAGTGCTAATACATACTTTGAGGGACTTGAGATTCCAGAGGCATACTCCAACTTTTACATTAAAATTCTTTGTAATAGGGAACAGAATTTCTGCATTTGACCTATCTGTATTCTTTAAAGAGGTGACAGGTCTAGCTGTTTTGGCTTCAATTTCTGATGCTATGGAAAATGAAATTACCTAGTGATAATGTTCACAATACAGTGTGCAACAGCTGCATACAATGCAATAGTTCCATAGGTACAGCAATACACAGTGATAAATTATAGGTAAAGCTTCTCAATAAGTTTCAACCTCATTTTAACCACTAGAGGGCTACCTTGTCAGCTATTTAATTTCTGATTCCTTAGTCACTCAATTTTAGAACACCAAGTACTATGATTTATAAAACTAGATTTATTCTGCAAAAGCATGTCATTTTAAAACTTACCAAAAAATAATTATCAAATCACTTTATACACCAGAGGACTCTGTGGAAGAAAAATGTGCTAATATACTAACAGTTAAAGGGACTGTCCCCACTTGAGGGCAACAAAGTAAGACTGATAAGCCTAAAATAAGAAAACTTATGTTTTTCTCATACTTCTTGGTCAGCTTTTATATTGATGGACTTACGTTTTAAGTGTTCCAGATGTCATAAGTTCAGTCACCAAAACAATGCACTTCTTTCCTTTTACTGTGGACTCCCAGGAATCATAGAATCGAACAATATTGGGATGCTGAAGACCCTTTAACATTTCAGCCTCTTCTTTAAATCTCTGCCTCTCAGACTTTGATAACTTTCGATCCTACAATCAAAAACCAAAACAGAATGTGGTTTAAAATAATAAAACACCAAGCTACTGTTACATTTAGGTAGTAAACATACTAAATTATAATAATCAACTGTTAAAACAGTAACACTAAGTTTACTAGTAACTTTATCAGCCTATCATGAGTGTAAAAACAGGCTAAACTATATTGAAGAAAATTCTGCATTATAAAGTCATGTTTGAGATTATTTTATTATCGGTACTATTAATGTATGACTCAGATACTGTTTAGTCTCATTTTGTATGTGCAGTTAACTTACTGCTTCCAAAACAAGTCATCTATTGCTAGAGATATGCAATTTAATAACATGAGACAAATACAGGTTTTCGAGGTAGAAACATGCAAATATAAATTCCAGTTCTGTCTTTGCTTCAGTTAGAATTTCCTTTATAAATATACACCTTCACCTCACAGGACTGTTTTAAGAATTAAATAATCTACTAGGTATGTTTTCATCGCATTTAAAGTACCTGGCACTTCACAAGTTAGTCTCTGAGATAAACCAGGGAAAGCATTTAATTTGTTGTTTTTCCCTTGATGAGGTCTCATACTCTGAATTGAGGTCTCAAACTCTGAATTGTTCTGTGAATTAAAATTGGTACTATGTCTTTCACATTAATATTCTGTCAAAACATGTAATACTTATTTTGACAAAATATTCTAAGTATACAATAATGTGTCCATCATAAAGTTAAATAATTAAACATCACAGGCATAATTTACCGTCCCCATCTACCATATTTTTCCATGTATAATGCACACTTTTTTGCTCAAATTTTTTAGGGAAAATAAGGATGCACACTATACATGGGCAGTACTACTTCTATATCTATATAAATGTTAATTTTTTTATTTATGCTTATGTGTTAAGAGTGTAACTCTAGAAAAAAATAATATCCAATATGCAAAATAATATCCTGGAATATGATAATAATTTTATTTCTAAATATAAATAATTTAATTATAAAATTACTTTCCCTGGAAGTTTAAGACAAAACCATGGGTGCACATTATACATGGGGGCACATCATACACAGCAAAATATGGTAATTAGGCTGTCCTTCCCATTACAATTCCTTACCCTTGAATAACCACTCTCTTGAATTTGAACATACCATTCCTTTATGGGTTTTTATACTTTATATGAAATACTAAAATTGCATAAAATGATGTTATAGAGTATATACTCTTTGGAAGCTTACTTTTTTCACTCAATATTGAGACCATCCATGATGGCATATAAGGAGACATTACAAGGTATCTACCATATCATTATAACTTGGATCTACTCGTTATCACTGCTATACAGTTATTCATTGTCTGAGTATATAGGGATGGGCAAAAGTAGGTTTACAGTTGTTCACATGGAAAATAATACAATAATTAAATGATAATACAAGAATAAACTGTTTTACGTACTAACAACTGTAAATCTATTTTTGCCCCATCCTGTATTACAATTTATAAAATCTCCTACTAATGAATCTCTAAGTTGTTCCCCATTTTTCCCCACTACCATACTGCAATAGTGTTATAATATTAATCTCCTTGGACATATATTCAATGGTGTCCATAGAACACTTGTCCTTAAACGTGGGGTCCACAAAATCCTTTAAGTTTGTGAACATGTGTGAAAACAAATCTTTATTTTTTATTTACCATGAATTAAAATTTAATACCTCCTTTAAGTATTTAATGTATATACCTAATAGCATTCAGTAGTACCTGTGATTTTTGCCACCAGCAAACCTAGATTATTTCATGCCCCATAGCAGTGGTTGCAGATTATCTCAAAATAGCAATTACATAAATCATTACTTTGAAATTATGATATCTATTAGACTTTCAGTAGATTTTATTACTATGTACTAGTAATGCATACTAATCACAAATTGAAACTTTTTGGTAACTATTCAATATTTGTTTCCCTTATGATCCTATTTTATTATATGAACTTAAAACAAACATTATTCTACCTTCCACCAGCCTTCAAAAAGAGACCTGAGGTAGAAAAAAATAATAAGAACTATTAGGATACAAGGCTAACAACAGAATTGTTGGATCATAGGGTATAGGCATCTTTAATTTTCCTAAGTATCAAGAGATTGCTTTTCAAAGGGACTGTACCAACTGATTCTCCCAACAGCAGGTCACCAACATAATAATCTCAGATATTAACTTCTGTCAACTTTGATGGGTATAAATCATATCCTAGTGCTTAATTTATGTTTTTAGAATCAATAAGCATGAGAAACTTTTTGTTTCCTCACAGACTATTTAAGATTACTCTTCTGTGAACTACCCAATATATCATTTGTTGATTTATATTATTTGTAGATTTTCTTAATATATTCTGGATACTAACCCTTTGTTGATGTTATGAGTTTCAAATATCTTTTCTCAGTTGTGGTTTGTATTTTTACCTTGTTTATGATGCCATTTGATTTACAGATGTTTTTATTTCACTGTAGTTCAATTTATCTATCTTGTACTTTATAGTAAGTAGATTTAATGTCTTCAATAATTTTCTAGACACTAAGACTATAATTTTTCTTTCTCTTTTCATTTTTAAAAATTTTATTTGTTTGTTTGCCACATTTTGGAACTTATCCGTTGAATTTATTTGCTTGGGTAAAAGGACTAGGTATTACTTTTTTTCTGTATCAACCAATACCCCCAATACCATTTGATGAACAATCAGTCCTTTCCATGTAAATGTAGTTCTAATTCTGAATTCCATATTCATTTCCAAAGGTTTGTCTATTCTCACACTAATAACACACTTTCTTAATTGCTATAATTTTAAAATAATTCACACCCTGTAGGAGAAGCACTTTCTGTATCATCCTCCCCAAATTTATATTTTAAGTTATGTTCTCATTTTTCCCATGAGAAGACTTCTATTTTTTAACAGAAATACAGTTGTATGTGTGTGTAACCTTACTCTGTCCTTTACATCTTTTAACTTCTCTCTCATTTTTTATTTCTTTATCTTTGTTATTTTCTGGGTAATATTCTTGGATCTACCTTCTTGTTCACTGATTCTAGAGTTATATCTAACCTACTTAGTCCCTCTTTTTTTTTTTTTAACTGATCAATCTTTCCAGTCTATAGGAGGCAAGGATGCAAAGGACATGTGTTAAGGTCTCAGCCCCTGATCCAGAAATAAAAGATGAACACAAACCAGATATGCACTCCCAACTGACCATACAAATCTTAGAGGGCTCCGTATATAGTTAAGAGAGGTATATATTTTAACACCCATAAAGAAAATAAAACCTAAAGTCAAGCAGCCAGTCACCAAAAGTACCCACTGAGGGGTTTGATAAAGGCAGTTCAGTCACTACTCCAGTCCCTACTTTCCCCCTAGCATCATTAAATAAAGGTGGGGTCAGGGAAGGCTAGGCACTTACCAAAGGCTTCAGTTCAGAAAGAATGCTCCTGCAATTGGACTATGCCCAATGCCTGGAGGACAGATTCCCTCCTCCTCAGTGGTAACCCTACAAATGGGGTTTTAAATGAGACATAACTGACACCTAAAACTACAATCATCCCCTCCAACCTCAACAAGCCATGCCTGCTTCATGAATAGGCAGGCTTTCCCAGTGTCCTCAGAATTTCTTCTTTCCCTGGGTCCTGCTCCATCTCCAAATTATCAGTGCAAGATTGGTCTCTCTCAAAGTTCCATAAAAACACCCTTTCACAGTCCTTTATCACTTTATTCCCACTCCTAACTAGAGGCTGTGACCATCCACAAAGTCAAATACCTTGTCTGCTAAGACTCGGATTCATGGCGGCATAGCTATATCATCCTGGATTATGCTCCTAAAACGTTTCTTTCCTGGGGGACAGACAGCCAATGAACAAGTCAATAGAACTGGGGCCAGATGACTGAGGAAGCTGGTACTTAATTGAATTTTTAATCATAATGCACTTTCCTTTCTTAAAGCTCTATTTGGGCCTTTATCAAATCAGTCATTCACTACCGCCTCAATACCATCTTGATGTTTCTGTTGTTTTAGTTTTCAGTCCTTTTTCTTATGACTTACTTTACAGATTTAATTCAATACCACTTTTATCTGAGTTGCTAGAGATCTAATTTTGCCTACTGTTTGGGGGGCTGATATTCACTTGTGTTGGTTTGTTTCTTCATGTGGTTATCTTAAACTATGATTTGTTTGTTGTTATATCCTCAGTTGTAGGTGTATTCCACAAACTCTAGTCTGTCTTTTCATTTCATTTTCCTCTTCAAAGGATGACTTTATTGGATCTCAATTCCAATAACTACTTGGGTTTGAGATTTCATCTATCCTCAGATAGATAGTGAAACTATGTCTCTTAGTTAAAAGGCTGGCCACTGTCCCAGAAAAGCCCTAGTGTCAATTCATACTTTTCCCACTTTGGTTTTAAGTTTCTTCTTCATTTTTAGACCTTGGAGATTATCCTTATTATAACAAGCTCAGTTATACATTGAAAATAATAGGTTTTTGTTGTTCTTTTCATCAAAATTTTCAAAATACTATCTGGTGTTTCACAGTAGGAAGTTTTCAGCTCATTCGTTTTTTCATGTACTGACAATAGGGTTTCCCAATGTTTGTTAAAAATGTTGTTCATCATACATTCTTAAATATTCCTCATATAAGGAAAATTTATACAGAAAAAATCTAGATCACTTGTTGACTCCTTTACATATTACCAAACCTTACAGTAGTTAAATTACGAAAATTTATTTTAAAGAAATTGCGAAAAGTTAATTAAATCTCAAAACAATTAGAAGACAGTGATTATGCAAATAAATTATATTCCACCTATATTAAGTGGTATTTAATGTTTATATTTTAATAAAACTACCTATTTGATGGTCTCAATAAGTACTTTTATCTGTATAGCATGCAATATTCCAGTTCTAACATTTTTTTAACATCTTTAAAAATGTTTACTATTTATGTACCTTGTGTCAGACAACAGCATATGA